TGAAGGAGGGATATCAAACAACTGTGAAGTGGAACATGACTAAACTAGCAAACTATCTATAGTCTGATACAATATGTGATCAACTCCACCATCTCAAATCTCATCATCCATGGGGATGACAAAATATTTACTGAATCTATGCAGTGTTGTCTTCTACAAAGTGTGTTTTCAACTGATATTGGGAAAAAAAAAAAGAATGCACAAACCAAAGACCATGAGAGTATTTAACCATATAAGACAATATGTTTAAATAAAACATCTTAACTTACAGTCTCCGCCATTGAGAATTCAGAGTCTAGCTTCTTCGCAAGGCCATAGTCGCCCAGCTTGATGAGGTCAGTCTTTGTAAGGAAAATATTCAGAGTTTTGATATCTCTGCAAGAAAATGAGAATTAAAATGTCAAGGCCCGTCACATTTCTTCTTAAAGGAAGAATATGCAACATTTTAAGGATAAATACAGCAGAAATCAAGTGTATCATCCTCTGTAAATATCTCTCTGAGTCATGACTGTCTTCAATGAGTGAGAAACGCGAGTCTCGCCAGCTGTGTTGTTGTCGGAGCTGTGTTTACATCATGTTTACATGGACGGAACGGCCTCGTGTATAAAGCTGTTTTAGTGAAGGACTAGAGAAAAGAAGAACAACATTTCCTACTCACTGCTTTTTGGGATGTCACGTTAAGTGTCTTTAGATCACGGTAATTCCGTGTCCATTTATGTGCAATATGAAGCTACAAGTTAACCAAAGTGTGCTAACATTAGCCTGCTAACACAACAATGAAGGCCACCGGCAATTGCAACTCAAGCAAAGGACAATTTTGTCCGCCGCTTGCGCTTAATGGTGCTTAATTATGGTGTGTTAATATTGATAACTCCTTTGTGCGAACACGAGTGGAGAGGGGTTGCGCTGGAGGAGAGCGGAGGCTTCAGAATAGGGGAGGTGTCGCCAAACAGCTGTTTGTGGTCAGTGCTCAAGGGCAACATCTACGGGATCAAAAAGTTGCACATTCTTCCTTTAAAGGCAGGAAACAAGCTGAACATCTAACCTGTGTAAGATCCCAGCCTTGTGAATATGGGTCACTGCTGAGGCAATTTGGTACAGGTACCAAATGACAACCTAAAGAAACATGTTCAAGGTAAATATGTCGCAGTTAATCATCTGTTTTGCAATAAAATTCATGCCTTTCAATGTTGCCACTTACATCTTCACTAAAAAGTTTCCCCTCCCGATGGATGATTCTGTCGTAAAGATTTCCTCCTGTGGAGATAACACCATGTAACAATCTGTCACACATGATCAACTTTCAAACGTATCCTAATCACCAGTGGACACAGTCACAGTATTCACATACCATTGCAATACTCCAGCTCAATGAAGAGGGTGTTTTTATCCATGAAGTGATTGAAATAGGCTATAATGTTGCTGTGCTCGAGAATGGACAGGATGCTTATTTCGTTCATAACGTCTCGCCGGTCCTTGTCTGAGAGCGAGTTCAGTTCCACTTCCTTCCATACTACCAGAGAGTTGTCCTATGGGAAGCAAAAGAGGACACATAACACAAGTGTGAGCCTTAATGTAGTATTAAAAATCAATGTGACAGTAAAACAGTCTTACTGTCATATGGACAATAAGTAATTACTAAATTAATACAACATACATCATTAATTGTAAGTGGAACATATTTATACAAGACAAAAAAAAATCAGTATATAAGCTTTAACATGTAAAATAAATGTGCATAAATACATAAATTAGGATTAAATAAGGAAGCTGAGTTATTAATTCAATGGAGAGGGGATGGGATTAGATCAAATTTATGCTTTCTTCCCACTACTCTTTAAACATGTAATTAGAATGACGTGTTGTCTTATGCACTTTTCTTTTGTTTGTTTTTTTTGTCTTGAAAAAAAGGCACAACAATCAATATTTAAATCGTAACACTGTTGTGAATATCATGAAAATAAAATGGACTTGAGTGTGTTAAGCAAAGAAACAGCTGTCACAGGATAAAGAGGCAATGTATGGGAAAGGTATGCATCTTGTTGCGCTGAAGAATTTCTCACAGGGGCAAGAACACTGAGGAACACTGAGGAGTTCAGATATCCGGACATTATCTTCTAGCCTACAGTACACAGTAGGCATTATTACATGTAATAATGAGCCACCATTTAAAGAAGGTGTGTCACAATTAACAGATTTATTATATATCTAATTTAAAAAACTTAAATATTCTATATGTTATAAAAATAACATGTCTGAACAGAAAAAAAAAAAGTTGTGGAGAGTTTGAGAAGTTGCAGGACACGTTTTCTTATGAGCTGCATCTTTAAAGATACATTTTAACTACTACGTGCTGCATGGCATTATGCACGCTTCTTTGTACCTGGTTAGACACAGACTGTATCTTACCTCTGTTCTTCTGTACAGGGTTGCTTCACCAAACGCCCCCCTCCCGAGGATCCGGATAGGAATGTAATGCAGCTTCTCCTCTTCGCCATTAAACGTGCTCGACGCTGATCGCTCACTGACCACAGAGCCGCCGTCCAAATCTGAATTCAGCGAGTCGAAATGTCTTTCATAGTCAGTGAGTGACATTTCGGTTCAGGAACTTGTTTGCCCGTGGCCGTGATGGAAATAACCCGCACAGGCCTGACGACAACTTCTCTCGAAAGACGTCTACAAACCCACATACACGTCTACCATGTTACCTGTGTCGTCTGACAAAAAAAAAAAACAACAGTCTGAAGCACAAGTATCTACTGAAGCCTTAAGGCGGCTCTATATCTGAAAAGTAAGAGAAAAAACAACGTAGCAAAATACGTGAAACTGTAGTAGTTAGACTACTGTCAAGCATGTCACAATAAAAACAGGACGGTTAGTAAACCTTTTGAACTTTCAAAATAAAAGCTGCAACCTCATACGTGTGCCGGTGTGTTTTACTGTGAAGGCAAACAAACGTCACTTCCTGTTTTGTCTTGTTAGTTACATGTTAACTTGAATGTGCTGACAGTCACGTTAGGAAGACGGAAATACAGCGCCGCCTAGCACAACAAAACACCAAACTAAAACTTTTATCCCCACCAAATTGAGTCGTTGAGTCTGCAGAGTGATTTGTTAAATATTTCTGAAACATGGTGGTCTCTTCAGACACTAAAGGCAACACAACGAATACCTGTCTCTGCTTTCCTCAGCTCAAACCCGGAAACTGTCAAATAGGTCTCCTCTCCGTTACATGGCAGATTCCATTTTTTAATATACTGTCCTAAATGTATTTACATTTTTACAGTCTATGGTATTTACATAAAAAGACTGAAGGAAGTCAATTCCATTTAAGGTGCATTATTGGCATGAATGTAATAAAAGAGTACCAATCATTGTATAACAACATTGAAAATACAATAAGACTAATATTAGGCAAGTTATTGTGATAATAATAGTAGCAGCCCAATGCAATTCATATTCAAAAAATATTCAAAAAATCTTCCAGTCATACAAAACAAAAATATTGCATAAATATTGAGTGGAAGAAATGTAATTCTTCAAATTTTGTGTTCAGGGGTTCCAAAAGTGTCAAAACACATCTGTCTAAACATCTGTCTAAACGTCTTATGTCGTTGTATTGTACTCTCTGTCATCTTTATCTTTAGTCTTTGTTTGACTGTGCCGTTATTCTTTTATTCTGTCTTCTTTCTGTTCATTGTAGCCTCTGTGTCATCTTCATGTTTCAATGTGTCGTTGTTATTGTCACACTGTGTCGTTATCCCTTGACATTCTGTGGTTGGGTTGTTGTAATGACATCGCTGCAGAATCACAGGATATAACGACAAGGCATGACAACACATTGAAACGACACAAAGAGGAGAATACAAATGTTTTTACAGATGTTTTTTTGGCAGTTTTGGAACACCATAATAGTTTTCCTAATTTTCTCTACTCATGCAAAAATAGGCTACTGCAGGAAGTTAAATAATTAAAAACACATAGCTATTTCCGTTTAACTATGTAAGGCTTATGCGACACAGGCCTATAATTTAAAAAATGCCATGAGTTTGAAACTCATAATATGAGATGTTGAACTAAATGGATTAATATAGCCTATTATATTAGCCTATAGCCTATATATTCATATTTTGCATTTAGATGTATCACTGTTGTAAATCTTTACTGGAGAATTAATTGAAAACTTTAATTTGAATTAGATCATTTGGATCACTCCGCCAATGTAATCCTTTGCCTTCGCATTGATGTAGGCTATTGGTTGATTTATTTAGTGAAAGTGAAAAACTAACCAGGTTTGTAGGTCAAAACCAAACCTTCAAGACATATCTTAGGCCAGTGGTTCCCAAAGTGGGGGTCGGGAGACACTGGGAGGGGGGTCGCAAGGTGCCTTCCAAATACAAATACAAATTTAAAATGACTTAAACTTGCATATTTTACCCATTATTTTTAAAACGTCCTTAAATGAGATTTGTGCTGAAATGAAAGTAAACAATTTGACTGTAACACTGTAGGTACCCGTGTTGCTCTTTGTCAATAAAAATACACAAAGACACACTGAAATAATCTAATTATTTTAAGGCTGCTGTGTTCTTTTGTGTTGTTCTGTTGTCAGTGTCTGGATAGGCCTATTAGTGCATGCTGCTGTGTGCAATGTTAAATACTTTAATCATTTCCAGGGACAGAGGGGGTCCCCAGTACAATTATTATTTTGGGGGTTGCTGGATGAAAAGTTTGGGAACCCGTTTGGGAACTTAGGCTCGGTACACACACTGTAAGAGGCACTTTATCTAAACCAAAACACACACACACACACACACACACACACACACACACACACACACACACACACACACACACACACACACACACACACACACACACACACACACACACACACACACACACACACACACACACACACAAATTGCAAACTTGCAGTTTTGGATTATTGACACAGCAGATAAAAGTGACAAGCTGTGGAGGTTTTGTGAAGACCCAAGAGTTATCCAGACATGATTTTAAATTGTGACAATAACGTTGATGAAACTACTAATAACCCTGGAAACAAAGGTAGGCCCAAATGATCAAAACTGCCATTGTCATTATTAACGAATATACTGTATTATTTTCCTGCCGTGTACTTTCAGCTCACAGTCAAGGGTCTGTTTGTTTAGGATCGATGAGCAAAGTCAGAGTTGGGTCCAGAAGTTTCCCACTGTATCCAGTGGTTATCGTCAGTTTGGGGCTGCTTAACACTATTCTGATGTTAACTGCTGTTGTTATTGGGATTTACTGTGAGTACAACCAATCCAATGAAGGTGTTGTAGTGCTTATGACCTTTTAGAGTCACTTTGTGGTACACCATGATTAACAATTTCATTATTAATCTTGATATTAAACTTTCAACAGGTTTACTAAGCTTGTATCAACACAAATCTATCTTTATATTTCTGCTTACAGGTGGTATATTTAGTGAGGTGTCAGCTTCAGACCAAAATGCACAAACCCTTATAATAGAGTTTAAGACACTTTGTGAAATGTTTGCCGATGTAATCCAATCCCAAGAAGAAGCCAAGCAAGCATTACAAAAGGAGCTCAGAAACAATGAAAAGAATAAACTGCAGATGGAGCAGAACAAGACTCTTTGTGACCGACTCCAGAGGCAGATTGAGAGTCTACATGTGGAGAAAGCAACACTGCAGTCCAAGTTATCGGATATACGTGAGAAGCTGCTGGATTCATTCATGTATTCTGACATAAACTTCTCTTTGATGATGTAACATTATTACTCTCCCATTTTCTCCAACAGAAGACAATTGTGGACGATGCCTTCCAGGATGGCTATTAATCAACCACACCTGCTACTTCCATTCTATATCGGAAACCAGTGCCCTTAAGAACTGGTGGGATAGCAGGGCGGACTGTATCAGCCGGGGGGGCAATCTTACTGTGATTAATAGCTTGGAGAAGCAGGTGAGTTTAGTGTGCTCTGGGTGGATATCAAAATAAAGTGAAATGGTACAACATATTTATGTTAAAGGAGCTACAATCTGTTGGAGCTTTTATTATTTTCCCTTCTGTAAGGAACGTTACTTGTTACCTGTGGTTTAAAGACATCCTGTGTGAGTTTTTTGACTATAGGGCTGGATAGTATAATGTTTAAAATGAATGTCCTGCACTGTGTATCATTGTTGACACTTACAGCAGAAGTCATACTGTAAATGTGAAGCTGTTGTACAGACACACAGAGCAAAAGGTGTTTTACAGGAAAAACAATTTATCATGTCAAAGTGTAACAGGGCAGGTGTTGACAATGAAACAAAAGGTGGCTTAATTCTAGATAACAGTGTAAATTGAATAACTTAATGTAGATTAACAACCGAAAGCCCCTAAAGCTGCAACAGAAACATGGGGATGTTTAGCTGTTTTTAGGAAAATGAAGAAGCCATTTTTTATGTCACAGGAAGAGCATCATAGTCCAAAGATACAGAAGCTAAATCAAAATGTTCAACGATAAATAATCCTTTATGGACCCACCATCTGTAGCCTCATTTTCTGATGTTCTAGATAACAACAGTCTAAATGTAGGACAATGCAGAAGTATAAAAAAATGCAGTTCCTTAAGTGTCCACTTGCGACTAAAGCAAGTGAAACCACATTACAACCAATAGTAAGTACCCATTTTTACAGCAGCATTTAAAACGTTCACCGCCTGGTTAAGAAAAAAAACGGTTTTGTTTGAATAGCTAATTTCTTTATTTGTAACAGTGAATTATTTTTTAACTCAGTTTTGATAATAAAGGCTCAGAATTATACATAATTAGGGATTAGTTGATTTGTCTGACTGGTAGGTGTGTTTTAGCTGTTAGCCAGGAGGCTATAAGCTTTAGCTAAATCCAGTCAAGGATTTCAACTCAATCAGAGTCACTCAACTCCACCTCTTTGCCCTGTTAACAGATCGGTCAGAAGTTAATTAACATCATGAATGTATTCTGTTAAAAAAAAGCTAACGTAACTTGTGTTTAAACCCTGTTTCTACATAGCTAAATCTTCACGAGTTTCTACCAAAAGGTTTGCAACAAAGCAAGCACAGGGGAGCCTGGATTGGCCTAACATATGATCGGACAGTGCACAGATGGGTGTGGTCAAATGAAGTGACTCTGAGCGATCAAGGGTAAGAGCTCTAAGCCACTCTTTGCATGTTTGGAAAAGTTCCTTTGTTCCCTGGAATTCTGTGTTCCCTAGATTTATATGGTTCATGGGAACATGACATTGGGGTCCTATTTTCCCCAGTTTAACATACATGTGCTTTACCAAGTCTGGGTTGTCAACCTAAATCTTACATCGTGATAGAAAGGGACACCAACCTTTTCTGTTTGCACATCTCACCATTTTGTAAATTTGCCACAAAATACATAACAAAAATTAACAAACATTTTCCTTACTTTATAATCCATTCATTACAATAAACTTAACAGTTTTTTTTAGGTCAACCCAGACTTTGCCAGGAAAACAACGTGAAGCTAGATACTATTTACAAAATATTTTCACTTTAAACGCGTCAAATTTGACCCAAGCCCAATAAAAAGTTTAATGTGTGTTAACAGAACATTGGAACCCTCCCTTACTGTGCCTGTAGCCAAGACATAGTATCAGCATGTAACTTCTTGTTTAAACCATACTTTTCGTGTTTCCACATGTTGAGTTAAACTTTACAAATGCTTACAAGTGAGCTTGCTGACTGGCAGCCCCTCGTTAGCCCCCAACTTTATGCTAAGCTATTTAGTGAACAACCTTGTGGAATTGATATTGTCATTTACTCTGAACATTAGTATAATCAGACTGTTTCATATCAGATGACTTAATTAACTTCATAAACTGTAATGATCATGAATTTTGTGAATGATTATATGAATAGTTTTAAAATCATGTATTCAATTCAAACACAAGTTGATATATAAAAATGTATATATACCGATATATACAGTATGTGGGTTTTATATTAAAGAAACTCACACATATGTTAATTGGAGAGATTTGCTTTATTAAAGTGGACACATGTAATTCTTAGATGATGACATGTTAATGACCAGCAATGTTAGCAAAGATTTCAACTTAAACGATATATTATAGACAGTTATATTATAATTTACAGTAAATAAATTACTGTTTTTACTTTACTTTACTTTATACTTTATTTCAGACCCATAGGTCCATATCGTTTTAAAAAGCACAGATAAATAAATACATCTACATGTATTATTCCATTCCTTTAGGTACTGGAATTCTGGGGAGCCCAACAACCAAGAAGCACCAGATGGAGCCTGTGTGGCAATTGTAAACAAGAAAACCCCGACAAGAACGTGGTTTGACACAAGCTGCGATTGGGAAAAGGAATGGTTATGTGAAATGGAGCCAAACTAGTTGTGGAGAGAGTGATGGTCAGGGTTTAAGTCTCTCCATTACATCAAACAAGCTGGGAAGAGAAGAAACAGTCATTTTCCTTTCTTTATTAAAGGATGAATTGTCTTCAAGTTTCTTTGTTTTTGAATAAATATATGGACCACGTGAACAAATGTGGTTTCTTATTGCAGTTGTGCTGTTTTCTGAAGGGGGTAATTTCAAAGATATAGAGGAGAGTGGTATGGAATGACAGTATCCCAAAACGGACATGCATTCATACATTTTATCTACTTCATTTTTCTGGTTGTTTTCTAGATATCTTTTTTTGTTGTGTTACAAATGTTGGTTTTTCTGTGATAATGACATCACTTCAGTTGTTTTCTTGAGACCTCATATTATTTTCCTAATTTTCTCTGGGTAACATGGCTGGTTTTCCCATTTAAATGGATTTGGTTATCTAGTTATATCAGGATAACAAACGTGAGTTCATTTGTTGTAATACAGTTGTAAGGTGTATTATCTATTCACAAGGTGCCAGTTGAAATATTGCATGTTAAGTAGTGAGCATAATAAAATGCTGATAGCATGTTATTTACCATCAGACAGTCTAACTTTCCTGCGACCTTATGCTAAGCTAAGCTAGCCAGCTGCAGGTTCAGAGAAATGGGAGTGGTCGAAAGCTGTTGAAAGCCAGTATTTCATGATTATGAATCAGCATCTCAATACAACATTTATCTGATGTTTATCTCTGTAAAAGTTTCCAATAAAAGAACATAACGAAGGTTACAATAATAAAAAAAATGTCCAATGATGGGAAAAAATGCATTTAAGCTTACAAACACGGTTGATAATGGTGTAATATTTTAGGACTATCTTATCTTTTGATTTGAAATCATATGTACCACAGCTCAGCATATATTTAAAGTTGTATCATTTGTTACTTAAATGTGTTGCTTAGATGTTAAGGTAAAGAAGCACTGAAAATAATCTATATAACCTACAATATTTAACATTAGTTAATGCAGTAATAAGCCTTAATTAATGGTTACTAACGCAGCCTATCATCAACAAATAGACACAAAGGTAAAACAAGGGTTAAAATACACACACACACACACACACACACACACACACACACACACACACACACACACACACACACACACACACACACACACACACACACACACACACACACACACACACACACACACACACACACACACACACACACACACACACACACACACACACACACACCTTATCACTGGTATAAGCAGGGGACGAGCGGATCAATAGTAACTGTTTGCACCAACATAATGGAGGAGTTTAAGTCGCAGACAGAAGTCGATGATAACGTTTTATTAAGACAGACGATTTCTCGAAATTTCAATCACCATGAGCATGCAGGCTCACACCATGGACTATTTGGAGGTACAGAAAACCTTACAATTTAACTTTTCTGCAGTTTTTGACTAAAGTCCACCTAGATTAACGTCTGCGTCATTCTACTTTTTCTCTCTTTTCTCTTGTAATCAGATTCTGAGATTTCACAAACTTTAATTACTTTAATTACACATTTCAGCAATGTTCAGTATATCCATGGTTTTAGATTTCACATTGTTGTTTATAATTCTTATCAAATCTACCAATTTCTCTATCAAGAGGGTGAATAGTCATCATGCTGATGTTCTTAATCTGTAGTTTTAAGCTTTAGTTTAATATTAAATAAACATTTTAGATGTTAACTCAGAGGACTGTTATTACTGTCTGTTCACAGGAGGAAGCTGTTTTGCATTACCACACCATCGACTGGTCATACTGAGTCTCGGCTTGCTGAATGCTGTTCTGCTGATAGCTTCTGTTGTCCTGGGAATTTACTGTAAGTATGAACGTTTGCAGAAACTGCTGCTTTCCTGGAGCACATTTCCGGTTCATCTTTTTTTTAATTAGATGACTACGATAGTTGGTTCATGTAATTCAATTCAGCCCGGTTTTAATGCAATACAATTTGATGTGATACTGCAGGGCTGTGTAACTATTTACAGCCCTGTATCATATTATTTCAGAATACAGGGCTTATTTATACATTAAATTCATGGTCCAATATTATGGATAGTTAAATTAGACAAAACATAAACAAATACTGACGTTTCGAAAGCCTTCACTAAAACAAGCACTTTAAATGCTTAATAAATCATCCAAACTGTTATTTATATTCTGCCAGTCAAGTACTGGATTAATGGATCTTTGAGCTATTTCTGTCAGCTCCTCAGTGGATGACCAACCAACAGACCACTATAGGTGCTTGCAACCCGCATCTATTTGACCACATCTCTTTCTGTTTGTTATTTTGTGTTTCGTGCCTCAGGTGCCAGAGCCAGCTACTTTCAGGTTCCTGTTTCAGCTGCCACACCCCTCATCATTGAGATGAATTATCTCCGCAACCAAAGCGGTATAATCCGAGCGACACTGGAAGCCAGGGCGGCAATAGCAAAAAAGCACACCGATCACGTTCAACTAAAGCTAGAACTGAAGCAGCACAAGATCACCATGGACAGACTTCAGAGACAGATTAAGACACTGCACGATGAGAGGGAAAATCTGCAGTCCAATAAATCTTCATTAGGTGAACAGACTAACAAGTTTTCGCTGGCTGCAAACAGTTCAATATCATGATTGAAATGATGCAACCTTTAATGTAGTGTATAACAATATTTAAATGTATTATGAAACAGCCTACTGTGTGACAATAAATCACTTTTTGTTTTTATCGAATCTCCTTTTGCATCAGAGGATAACTGTGGCAGATGCCTACCAGGATGGAGACTTCTTAAATTGTCCTGCTATTATTTTTCTTCTCGCAATGAGTCCAACCCCAAGAAGAACTGGCTGGATAGCAGAGCAGACTGTGTCAGTAAAGGAGGAGAACTGCTGGTGATCAATAATAGGCAAGAGCAGGTAAAATAACAAACCAGCATTAAAAAATAAATAAAACTCAACTGGAATTGAAAACAAATGGTGTTAACAAAATTAAAATAAATACTAATTAAACATTCAAAACTATTCTAACTTTGTATGTAACCCGTTGAGCATGTTTGGGATGCTCTGGATCGGTGTATAAGACAGCGTGTTTCCAGTTCCTGCCAATGCCACAGTCATTGAAGAGGAGTTTAGAGTTTTTAGAGTTTAAAAAAAAAACGGTTTCTATTACTCTGTGTGTATTTGAGGTATACCCATCTTAAAGTCTCTGAAAGCTATATTAGACCAGGTTTGTTTCATATTTATATTCATTTTTAACACAGGATTAAATTAATTTCTTAGATTTTTTTATTTCAACTCGTGAAAAATCAAGCAAAAACTATAGTGTTGCATTCATATTTTTGTTAGTGTATGTATGTGATAAGACAATAAGCCATTAGAGTATAAACTCATGTGTCTGCTTTCTACAGCAACTCCTCTCTGCCAGCTTTCCAACCCAGAGCGGCAGTGGTGAGTGGTGGGAGAAAGGATTTTGGATCGGCCTCACTCATGTGGCTACAAATGGAACATGGGTGTGGGTGAACAATGTGACTGAATTGGAAACAATGTAAGTATCTTACAAGAGTGTCAGCACATTTTATTTCCTTATAGTGTTATGAAATATCCTCAACTACAATAAATAAATGGGAGATAAATTATTATTTTGAATGATTTTCATTTATAAAAGTTACTGGAGAAGTGGACAGCCAAAGACCGATGGACCTCAGAGTGGGAACTGTGCAGCTTTGTCTAACTTGTATGACACCACCAGGATGTGGTACAATGGGAACTGCCAAGACCATCAATATAACTGGATATGTGAGAAGCAGCCAAGCCCAATATAAAATCAAAAGAACGGCAAGATGATATGTACCAGTGCAAAATCTTTGAACTGCACCTTACCAAATTAGCATTCATGTTGCATTTTTGTTTATTTGAATTTTTGAGGATGTGTACTACAGACATTTGTGTTCAGTGCTAGTATATAATAGTTGTCAATGGAAGGAAATATATTTGCCAAATAATCATTTTATGAAACCCTGCTTGAATAAATAAAAAAGTGTCGTCTGAATAAATGTCATATCATGCTTGAAAGTTTAAATAAACAAGGAAATAATAATGTGTTCAGAAACGGAATCCGCTCTCCAAATTGCCTCTGCGCCCTGTAAATATGTAACAAATGATCTAGATTTTTGTGTTTGTAAAGTAACACGCACACACTCTTACACACAGGGCAATGTCCTAACATATAATCTCTTTTGGACAAACACAAGAGTCTGCCTTCCAGTTTGCAGTCAAAATGGAGGACAGAGAAAATTCAGGTGGTAGTTTCGGTGGCAGATTCAACAAACTGATAAGTGAACATGAATTCAGTGCAGATGAGAATACTCCGGACTCAAACCAGGAGACGCAACAAGGTAAAGACAATGAATTAATCACTGCTAATCTCAGGAAGAATTTGTGCATTCTGTTTTTATCTACTCATACCAGGTCTTTAAATAGTCAAGGAAAACACACAATTTACTACTTTATATACCATTCTTAATATGCATCCTCGGCTTCCTATATGGTGTTAAATGCATTTTTTTTTTTGGCAATTTTTCATTTGTCTTTATATTAATTTATGGATGTTGTATTGTTACAGTATTATGATGAGGTTTTGGCTCTCATATTGATTCACCACTTCTCTGTGTAGTGTCCATGTCAATGGTGAGGCCTGAATCCAGTCTGAAACATTACAAACTGCTTGCAGTAAGCCTGGCAGTGCTTGCTGTCATTCTTCTAGCAGTTGATATCAGCCTTGGCGTCTCCTGTAAGTCACTGTTCATTTATCTATCTTCAGTGCCAGGGTCTAGTCTCACTATATTCCAGGACCAGATCTGAAAAGTCCTTTCAGTTTGCTGCTCGCTTTACTTGGAATGAATTACAATAAGACCTGAATCTTATAGAGCTGCTGTCAATGCTTTTGAGCTGATTTGGAGGCAAGCATATCTAAGTGTAGATATTCCTGCCTGAAATATTTTTCAATGTGGTCAATATTTGCCGTTTATCCTTTTTTTTGTAAAGAATATTTAATATATCACGTATAATTGTTTGTCAGAAAGTTTGACTGTGCTACTGACTGTCTTGAACACTCTTGAAAAAGAGATTTTAAGTTTAATGAGTTTTATCCTGGCAAAATAAAATAAAAATAATTAAAACACTCCTAGATTTACAATATTGTTAAGATATTGTGGCGTTAGATGGATATGTATAGACATTTCACTCACAATCCACGTCATTAAAACTAATGTTTCAGACTTTGACTCAAAGGTGGAGCAAAGGTCATCTTAAAATAGCAAAAGTTTGCTCAACAAAAGGAGGTGGTCCTACAGTTAATAAAAGTTTGATTTAAAAGCTGTAAAAGAAATACAATATGTGCTCAATTAAGACTGCTTTCATCACGTAACACTTACATCAGCGGCAAAAGACCCTAGATCAAAGAGCTACTGTTAGCTACTCGCTTAGCATCAAACAGCAAAAAAAAAAAAAAGTGAAGAACTAGATGGTGAAGATATTGCAAGATTTAGCAGATAAAGAGTCAAACACTCTCATAAGGAGTTGACAGAGACCAAACAGAGCTTAAAATGTGAGTTCAGTTGTCAAAACCTACTTTAAAAAGTATGTTGATATTTCTCCATGACAGCTAGCAAATGTTTGCTAACAATAGTGCTAGGATAACTTTATTGGACAATACAGTATGTCGGATTAAAGCTAGATTCCACTATCCTCCGTATGATTGAAAAAAACACAATATCTGAATGTATGAAATATTTAAAATAAAATGTGAAAATATGAATATGTATCTACATTTGCAAGAACCCCACATAGCCTATCAACAGCTCAGTGTCACACCTGACTACAAACTCATTTTCTAGTGCTCTATATGTCAAAATAATCTTGAATGACATAAAGATGGGAAAGATATTAATGTAGGAAGTGAACTGTAAATGACTGTATATGTACATTTTAACTGACAAAAACCTAAACTTGCTGAAGTCACACTTCATCTCTATTATTTACAGATTACAAACTTACAGATGGGCTCTATCTAGTAACGGACATCAACAGTGAGTTGGCCAAACTACATGCTTCTTACAACACCGCGATCCAAAGACGAGATGAAGCCAAGAAAGAGTTGGCCAATACAATCAAAGAGCAGCAACTTAGAGAGTGGGAGAGAGAACACCTGGCGAGTACACGCAAGTCCTATGAAAAGGAGGCCGACAACATTCAGCTTGAAATTGCAACGTTGAACTCACACCTGCCAATGATCAGTGAGATCTTTTATATCTTGTATGAATGCATAATCGTCACAGTTTTGTTACTTGACCAATAACACATCATCTGTCCACTCTCTTCGCCAACAGGGGAAGGCTGCAGACACTGTTCAGCAGGATGGACTTTCATGAACTCAGCGTGCTACTACTTCCCTTTCTCCAATGTTTTAGTAAGCAGATCATGGCAGGAAGCCAGGGATTTCTGCAAGAAGCAAGGAGGCGACTTGGCAGTGATAGATAGCCAAGAGAAACAGGTAAGACTCTTCAGTTCGAAAAAGACATTAATATTCCTGGAAAAACATCTGCAATTCAATTGTTGTTATTTTTGACAAATGTGTTACCAACTCAACAAAATAATTGAATATTTGTGTGTGTGTTTGTATGTGCTTGTCTGTGTGGATATGTTTCTGGTGTTATCAGCTTGCATTAAGTGAGTTGATAAATAAATATAGTGCCCTTGCGGGGTACATGGCCCTAAGTGGTTTCTGGATCGGACTGAGAGATGTGGATGAGGAAGGGACTTGGAAATGGCTTGATGGAAGAAGGCTGACTGTCAGGTAACCAGACAGTTACCAACATATTCCTATATTCTTGGTTATGTAACTATTTTAAATAAAGACGTAATAACATTTCTTATATGGAAAGCATACTGAAGTGTTTTAACCTACGTTTGCAAAAGTATTATTTTAAACGTGACCTGTAATTTGCTTCAGCTTCTGGATCACTGGAGAGCCCAACAATCAGGGTAACGAGGACTGTGCAGCTACGTATCCCAGAAGCAACCCTTTTTTTGCCTGGAACGATGCTCCATGCAATCATCACCTTAAATGGATTTGTGAAATGGCACCAAGGTTTGCCAGTTAAAGCTTTTATTTAATAAATAACCTTTCGTGTAATTCTTTAAACCTCACTGTTTTAGTTACATTCTTCTATATTGTTCTTTTTATTGTCACATCCACGTTGTCGACACTACAAAATAACATGAGTACAAATATGAAAAATACATTACATTTATGAAATGACCTATAAAATCTAAATTTCCTCATTCACTGTAATAAATTCAATTTTTACCTTTACAATATAGACAGTGTCTGTCTCAGATCTGTACACTAAGTTACCAGTTGATCATAAAAACCCACCTTCACATAAACTGTTCATTATATGAAAAAATCAGATGACGTCTATCAATCCTTAAAGGGATACTTCACCTATTTGCATTAAGCTTTGTATCATTAGAAACCTGGTAGTATTTTTGAATGGTCGTGCATCCCGCCCTCATTTTCCCGAGATGGGAAATCTTTGTATTTCTAAGTCTGAAAAGGAGCTTCCAGTGACACAAAATGACGATTTTTGCGTCACTTGAAGCTGTTGCGGTTAGCGGGGTGAAACTACAATGCTAGTTCCTCATATTTTTGACCACTGAAGCTACAGACCAATCACAGATCAGTGGGTGGGAACTCGCTCCCAGAATCGAAACTTAACGTCCGCCATATTGCTTGTAAGCTATGCTAACTGGCTCTATGGAGAAAGCTGATAATGGCGAAAAAATATAAATATAGCAGTGAGACAGCTGCTGCCGACAGGCCGGTCTTGTGTTTTGGCTGCTGCAGCCGCTGCCCGCGGAGGCCGCCACTGACCGCTGACTGCTGCCTGCCGACCGGGGGCCACTGCTGGCATAGAGTCTGTTTTCTGCCAGGAATTTCCAAGATACCAATTCCTTCTGGAAGAAATCTCAGAATCAGTTGAGGAAATGGCCTCATGTGTTGAAGTAAATATGTCTGTAAAGGTTTTTATTACTATATTTCTACTGCTATATTGTATATTTTGGAGAAACTGTAACGATCGAATTTCCCTCTGGGATTAATAAAGTATTTCCTTAGTGGGAGTGGCCTGCTGTGCTGTGCATTCTGGGATTTGGTGTCTTTCATCCACATGAGCCAAAAAGACACTTTCTGCCTTTTCTCGGCCAAGAAGGCACCAACTTCAAAATTTATTTCACATTTCTACTACATATATGACCCAATGTCAATACAGATTCATGTTTCAACGGGTGAAGTATCCCTTTAAAGTTGCAGATAGTTATAATTCAATATTAGGTTATAAACCACTGGATCATTCAGCAGTTTCCGTTATTTACCTCTTCAAGGATTCTTGGAATTGACTAAGAATGGTGCAAACAGCTGAGATGTACCTGACAGTGGATTCTGTAGGTAAGAGCAAACGTAAATGCTGCAAATGAAAAATACATGCCATAGAGGCCAGTCATATCAAAATTACATAATTTTATCTAAAAGAGCACCACATGAAACTGCGCCACAGCACATTACACTAAAGGAAGGTGTTACTGATACGCTGGTAATTTAGTGAAGACACCATTTATACAAAAAACTAAAGAATTTGAGTGTCTGACTAACCTGCCAACCTTCAAGCCTTCAAGTTTTACCTACCATTGCACTTTCCCTGCTCTGTGTTAACTTTCTATTCAGACCACACCTTGCTTTTTAAAGAATGCTTGTCGGTGTCTCACAGCACAGCGAAGTGCTGCCGAAGCTGCCGCAGAAGCTGCTGAGTGTCGACGTGCTCAGGAAAAGAGTCCTCAGACTTTTGTGCTGCAGTGTAGCTGCCCTGAAGGTCTCCAATCTGGAAACAAAGACACAAAACATCTCTTCAGCTAAAGGAAAAAAAGTATAATCTCTATGAATCGGTCTGCTACTGTACCACTTAGATAAATTGATAACTTAAGTAGTATGACATTACCTTTTCAGTGAGAATGGAGAGATTGTAGTGTGGCTCATACATGTGAGGGGCTAGTGATTCAGCAGTCTGCAGGAAGGCTTTAGACTGTTGGAAAGGAGAAACAGTCATTGATTTTTAACTCTAATATTAGATTACATTCTGAGAAAAAAAAGGAAATCTCACAGAAACGGTGCTATTTGCATCTCAAGAGCGTGATCCCACAACTTTTGACACATTTCACCTCATTTAAAAGTCAGAAATCTGTTTTCAATTCTGACATCCATCAGAGACATAATTGTTCCATTTTGTTAAATGGGAAATGGACAGGGACTTTTATAGCACTTTTCTAGTCTTCTGACTAATCAAAGTGCCTTTACACTACATGTCAGATTCACACACTGATGGCAGAGGCTGCTATGTCTCTGTTGGAGCTGTCCAACAGTACTACTCCATTCACCCACATTATGCGTCACGCATTCATATCAGACGTAGCAGAAGGAGCAATGCTGGGTTTAATGTCTTGCCAAAGGGAGGACCCATTGACATGATGGCTGGAGCTGGGGATCGAACCCCAACCGTCTGATTGTGAGATATATGACTCAACCACTGATCCACAGCCACCTTGATCACTCATTGTCCGTAAAGGTTGACAGCCTTCATGGCATGATGCCTTGTTGCAATCAGCATTTCAAGGCAACTATTATGGATCCCATTGCAGCAAACACTACACTAGGTAGAGAAACACATCCTTTTTTATTAGCAAACTATTTAGCTTGAGTTAGCATGCACTGACATTAAGCTAAGGATGGCCCCTGGCTACATTTAAGACTCATGACCAATTAAGAATTACTATTAAATTTAAACTGAATCATGATAATGACAGTTTAATTGCTCTAAACAAATCGGCTGTGTTACATCGTATTAATTAGAGGGCCATAAAGGACACCAATGATCGTATACCTAATTTTATTCAAAGTGAAATAAAAGCCATATAAACAATGTTTTCACCTGTTCAATGCGACCTTTGCGCAGCTCCAGCACAGCCAGGTTGTTGTAGGCCTCAGCATGGTCATTATTGAAAGCCAAAGCCAGTTTAAAACACTGGTAGGCCAGAGTCAAGTCCCCAATGCCCTGTAAAAAACGAACAAACACATGTGGACTTCTTGCCAACCTACTTACATCTATCTAATGTTAACGTGTGAGTTCTATATGCTAAAAAAAATCTATATTATTTTGGTCTTAAATAAATTAAATAATTGTTATTCTAGGCTGTATTAAGAGATCATTTACTCACCACAGCCACGTGTCCAATGTTATACCAGACATCAGCCTGCTCTTCATCGTTTGCCACCAGAGCTAGTGCTCTCTCAAAGGAGGAAAGCGTCATGTCGTACTGCTGGGCGTAGAAGCAGGACAGGCCCAGGTTGTTGTACAGCTGACAGTTATACACCCCCATCTGGAGCAACCGTCTAAAAGTGACAGAGAAGCTCATTGAATCACAGATGCCAAACAACTTCATAATACACATACGGAAACAATGAATCACAACAGTTGTGTGAAAATGCTTGTCTGACCTGTAGAAACGCAGAGCAATCTCAGGCTGATCAGTGTAGAAGTGATTGCTGCCTATGCAGGCGATAGCCTCAACATGAGTGTTGTCCTGTTTCAGGACATCTTTGTAGTACTCTGTGGCTGATGAGATGTTGTTCATCTCCTGCAACATTTGCACAGTAAAGACAGTGCATAAGGTTTCCTTGTATCTGCACTCAGGACTCAGTGGACTCTATAGTAAGAACCACGGTGACATTAAGTACCTCATGAATGCGGGCGATTCCTGTTAGAAGGGTAACCTCACCAGGAAAGTGATCCAGGCCTTGTTTGAAAAGGTTGAGAGCTGTTATTGGTTGATCCAGCCGCTGATACACCTACGGGAAAGCATGCCAAGGTACTTTATAAAAAAATATACAAAGAGTATTTTCAGTTGTAAAAAAAAAGTGATTGACATGAAGTGAAGTAATGATGATCCTTACCTTTGCAAGATAGAGAAATGTGTCCACCACCTCTTGCTGGTTGAGGGCTGATCTGAACTGTTTTTCTGCTTCCCGATATAAACCTAGCCTACAAATGACAGAAACATTTATTTCATCCACTACAAAACATTACAAGAGTAAAGAAATATTAAGCTAACTAAATTTGGACTGCGGTTGAGTTACTTGCCTGTAGTAGCATTTTCCCAGCTGAACTTTCCACCACCAGTCTTTGAACTGAGCATGCTCAGTAGCTTGAGCAGCTAAATCTAAAGCCTGGACAAGAAAGATACATTTTGTGTCACATGGGAAAAACTTATAAATCTAAACATGTACTACAACCTTTTTCTTTATAACACAGTTTTTGGCAACACTTACATTTTTCACATCATTTTCATGATGGAAGATGTACTCAAACAGTGTCTGGGGAAGAAACAATATGGTTACTTAACATGCATGGAAAAACCCAGTGATCGTGACAAATTTGTGAAAGTCACAGTCTCAGTCTTACCCTGGATAAATTAGGCTTTTGGGAATACTTGGCTAGATTCAGTCTGGACAAGTTTATAAATGGTCCTTCTGGATTGGTAAGCATTGAAGCCTGGAGAAACAAAGGGAAAAAATGTAATCATATTAAACTTTCTTTGCAACCAACACAGTAAAATAAAACATGCAACATTTTAGAAAAGTTGCAAAGATTCAGTGCACAAATGGAATTTCTCTAACAGTATCTACTGTTTATCATAAGATATAGGGGACAATACTATAAACATAAGTCAATGAAATATAAATATTGTGAAAAAAAGTATTAAATTTGCTGAGCCTCTTATTAGAAAAGCATGATTGTGTTTCATATGAAACATGTTTAGTCTGTGCAGAGACACAGACATATTTACTCACTGTTCCCAGGCGAATGTATCTACCCGAAGCACTTGTAACAGGACGCGCCGTGCTTGCAGTGCGTGGGGTTTTCATAGCCTGCTCCATTGTCCCAGGACGCCCTGACTGTGTGCTGGGTCTCACAAATCCTGTGATAGGACGCCCAGTTTGTGTCATAGGCCTTCAGAAATCCAGACAGAAAAATCAGATCTATCTTCTCATATATTTTTCTAAATGTCAGCCCTAATACAAATTCTGTATTATACAAATATTGTGTAGTACCTGACAGCTTGTGTGGGACCCCCACCCTGACTTGTGCCAGGAAGCCTAAGTGATGTTCCAGGTCCTTGAATAAAGTGAAGATGTATTGATCAAATAAATTCAACCATTAAATAAACAAAACCATAAAATACTGACAGGAGTCTTAACTCACGTGCAACT